CGGGTAGCGTATTGAATCGATTCGGGTTCAAAATGGTGTTTGAGGCTGATAAATTTGTATTGTCCAAAGGGGGGATTTTTGTTGGACAAGGCTATCTATGTAATTCGATGTTCAAACTCAATATTAATAAACCGAGTACTTCTTTGTATGTTCTCTCTTCCAATGTTTCAGATTTATGGCATGCTAGATTAGGTCACGTTCATTTTAAACGGATGCATGTAATGTCTAAGTTAGATCTTATTCCACCTTGTGAATTGGAGAATGATCGTCGTTGCGTTACTTGCATGAAAACAAAAATTACGAGGCTGTCATTTCCAAACGTAGAAAGAAGTTCGGACATTCTAGAACTTGTGCATAGTGACTTATGCGATTTTCATAGTACACCGTCTCTAGGAAATAAAAAGTACGTAGTTACGTTTATTGAGGATTCGACTAGGTTATGCTACGTTTACTTGTTGCATTCTAAAGACGAAGCTTTGGATAAGATTAGGGTGTATAAGTCCGAGGTTGAAACACAACTCAGGGTTAAGCTCAAGAAGCTTAGAACCGATAGGGGAGGGGAATATTATGATCCGACATTCTTTGAATCCGTAGGCGTGATTCATGAGACGACCGCTCCGTATACACCATAACAAAATGGTGTAGCGGAAAGAAAGAATAGGGTATTGAAAGAAATGGTAAACTCCATGCTTTCTTTCTCGGGATTAAGCGAGGGTTTTCGGGGAGAAGCCATGTTAACGGCTTGCTACATTCTTAATCGAGTTCCCTCGAAAAAGAATAAAATAACCCCATATGAGCTATGGTACAAGCGAAAACCAAATCTGAATTATTTTCGGATTTGGGGTTGTCGGGCAATAGTTAAAGTGTCGGAACCCAAACGAAAAACTTTGGGTGAACGAGGTATCGAATGTATCTTTATAGGCTATGCTTCTCATAGCAAGGCCTATAGGTTCTATATTATAGAACAGAATAACTATATACCCGTTCACACGGTTATAGAGTCGAGAGATGCATTGTTTGACGAGAGTCGTTTTTCTTCGGTTGAAAGACAACCTCGAGCTATACCAAGCTCAAGTGATCGAGTAGTCGATCATGATGACGGACAAGGTGAACCTCGTAGAGGTAAGCGTATAAGGAAAAGAAAAACCTTTGGTCCGGACTTTTATATGTACCTAGTAGAATGTACTAATGAGTCGATCGTGACTCAACTCGCTTATGTTTACAATATCGAGGGAGACCCTAGGACTTTTGATGAAGCGATGAGATCGCAGGATGTCGCATTCTGGAAAGAAGCGATAAATGATGAGATGGACTCCATCATGAGCAACAACACTTGGGTCTTAGTAGATCCTCCTCCAGGTTGTAAACCGATTGGTTGTAAGTGGATCTTCAAAAAGAAGATGAGAGTCGACGGAACTATTGATAAGTTCAAGGCTCGTCTAGTAGCTCAAGGCTTTAGACAAAAAGAAGGTATCGATTTCTTTGATACGTATGCACCGGTAGCTAGAATAGCTACGATAAGATTGTTGATCGCTCTTGCAGCGATAAACAATCTTGTGATCCACCAAATGGATGTCAAAATGGCATTCTTGAATGGTGATCTAGAAGAAAAGGTGTATATGAAGCAACCAGAAGGTTTTATCCTATCGGGACAAGCACACAAGGTGTGCAAGTTAGTCAAATCATTGTATGGGTTGAAACAAGCACCTAAACAATGGCATCAAAAGTTTGATGAGGTCGTTTTGGCTAATGGATTTCGTCTGAATCAATCAGACAAGTGTGTATATAGCATGTTTGATGATAACAGTCATGGAGTTATCATTTGCTTATACGTGGATGACATGCTCATATTCGGTACAAAATTAGAGCAAGTCAAGAAGACAAAAGACTTCTTGTCATCGAAGTTTTCGATGAAAGACTTATGTGAGGCTGATGTTATCCAAGGCATTAGGATAAAACGGGATCAAGGTTCGATAACACTATCTCAATCACATTACGTAGAGAAAGTGTTAAAACGATTTGATATGTTTTAAAGCCCTCCGGCTTCTACTCCGATGGATTGTAGCGCTAAGTTTGCACCTAATAGTGGGGAACCGGTAGCTCAACTTGAGTACGCTAGTGTCATTGGTTGTTTGATGTATGCTATGACTAGCACTCGACCCGACATAGCATACGCAATAGGGAAGTTGAGCAGATACACGAGTAACCCAAGCGTACATCATTGGAATGATGTACGAAGAGTACTTCGGTACTTGAAAAAGACAATTAATTATGGTCTACGCTACACGGGTCAACCTTCGGTGTTAGAAGGATACACCGATGCGAGTTGAAACTCTAGTGAAGAGGATTATGCCTCGGTTAGTGGATGGCTTTACCTTTTAGGTGGAGCGGCGATTTCTTGGGCTTCTAAGAAACAAACTTGCATTTCGGATTCGACCATGGCGTCGGAATTTATCGCCTTAGCGGCTGCTAGGAAAGAAGCAGAATGGCTAAGGAATTTGGTATTCGAAATACCATTATGGCCTAAACCGCTATCGCCTATTGCAATACATTGTGATAGTGCTGCGACATTGGCTAAGGCATATAGCCATGTTTACAATGGAAAGTCTAGACATATCGGGTTAAGACATAGCTATGTGAATGGTCTTATTAAAGACGGGGCCATAATGGTGGATTTTGTGCGGACCAAACAAAATTTGGCGGATGCTTTCACAAAAAGCTTGCCAAGGGACGTGGTCCACAAAATGTCACAAGGGATGGGACTTGAGCCGGTTTTATGAATTGCAAGTAAAGGAATCTCAACTCAACGTCTAGTACAACGCTAGATCTTGAGTTCAACGAGTTAAATCCTTTACTATGTGATTGTAGATGTTTCACAATTACATATCCCGAGGTAAACATCTAGGTTATGCAATGTAAGGAGGATGTTTTTACTTAATGAGTTATTTGACAAAGTGCTTAGTTGCAGGGCACGATATCAGAAAGGATTCACCTATACAAGCATGAAGTGAGGCCGCTTCAAGATGTTGATGGCTCAACATCCATGTGCTTGTGAATGGATATGGACACATGGCCATTATAGTGTCAAGGATTGCAGAAAAACTTCTATCGGCTTTGTGTGTGTTTTGTACTCGGTAGCTCAATTAGGATTACTCGGTTCAATCGTTTCGACACCTATGTAATTCGAGTTTATTATTGTACGTTATACTAAGTGGAAGTTCAATCGAAAGATACTTTCATTTATGCACAAAGTTGTGGGGATGACGGATTGTCGCTCGGTTTCCATGGATAATTTACTCTAAAATGGTGGAGGATTGTTGTTTATTTTAGAGTAAATTGATGGATTTAATAAATCTCTCATGTGATTCATATTAAGTATATACTTATGTTTAGTAGTGAAATTTAAGTGCAGAAATTCTGCACGGGCATGTAACACGGGCGTGTTAATTCTGCACGGGCAGTGTAACACGGGCGTGTTAATTACAAACACGGCCGTGTTAGGTTCAACACGGGCCGTGTTAATTCTCTGAGAAAATGTTGTTTTTCTCAGACATTTGACACGGACCGTGTTAAGGTGCAACACGGACCGTATCAAATCTCTGAGAGAGTGTTAATTTTGCACAGACAATTGACACGGACCGTGTCAGATTCGACACGGCCGTGTTAAATGTCTGTAATATGAACAAATGCGGCCTTTCGCATGAAAACTACTAAATGGATACAACTTTTGATCATGTCTCTGGTGTTTTTAAAACCAAAAACGTCAGAGAATGCGGACATACGAAATCTAATTGATTTTGAGAGATTTGTGAGCCTTTTTGGTGAAGAAACTTGCTACTTCTTCTCCATCTTTTACTGTTCATCTTCTCTCTCGGGTTTTTCTGTTTTGGGCAACGTTTGAGGAGCAAATCAATCGTTGCTGATCTTCTTTGTATCTCTAAACGTATTCTCGGGTTTCTCCTTTGCTCGGTAGGGGAGGGAATAACGTTTTAGGAAAGTGTTCTACGCGCCTAGAAGATTATATCCGGGTTGTTTCATCTTTATTTCGATTTCATTGTTTAACATCAGTAATGTGTGAGAGTACACTTAATTTTGAACGAAAAAGAGACAAAAATTATATAATAATGTTGTATTGTATTTCATGTACTTTGATTATTTGTTTTATTGTATTCCATTTACTTTTGTGTGTGTAAACATATTAAAAAACATTAAATAAGTTCATCTCATATGACTACCGATTGTGACCAGCATGTAACCAATGTGACCAAAGTCAATTTTGCACTATGTGACCATTGTGATCGGATGTGACATGTGACCAAGTGACAAAGGTAAATATAGGGTTTAACGTGTATTTTAAAATTTGGTATGTTATAACAAGGTATAAGGAACATAAATATAATATTGTTGAGAATTTTACAAAACATTATAAGTAGGTTATAATAATACAAAACCACAAAAAATATCAAAATCCTTCATAAAAGACTATGAACACCTATGGAACACATATGAGAAGACTACTTTTACATGCAAAATTCGTAAGAATCCATTTTAACACTTCAATACAGTAACAAGGGGTTTATGTGGAACATGTAACCACATTCGTGACCACATTGGTATCGATTCAATTGAAAGAATCGACAAATTCGATCCTTGTGACCATGTGTGACCAACTTTGATCCCATGTGATCGAAAAAATATAGGACCCAATTTTGAAATTGCGCAATTTTTTGTGGGACCCAATGTCATTCAAATGTTCAGAAATGTTACGGTTGACAATTCAACTCTGGGACCCGTCATTTCATTAATTTTTTAAGGAAAATTTTTTTTTCCTCCAACATTTTAATGCCAAATTTTTTTCCCTCCAACACTTGTGGAACACATTTTATATCTAGATTTTGTTGACGATGTAATTAAAGAAGTTCAGACATATAATAAACAAAAATCCATAATTAAAAATTCATAACTTAGTGTTTTACAAAAAACATAGAAAGGTCATATTTAGGTGAAATAAAACATATTCAGTCCTACTTCTGCTGAACTTGGTCATTTGCAAATATGGAGGTTGCCAACTGCTCACGGATCATGGAGATGTTGGCATCACAAATCATTGGGCACAACGTCTGTTCTTTTCCAAGGCATATCGCATCGACATACTTCACAGCAAAAGCACCGCAGTCACAGCCGTTGGCATTCTCAGGTAGTCCCTCCACATACTCAATCTCCAGTTCATCTCCATCAGAGAAAGAATCTGACCCAGCAAGGAGACCAACCTTGGAAATAAGATGACTTAGTTTCTGAACTACATTCTCCACATTGACCCTTAGTCTCGGTTGACAGTAAAAAACTTGGAGCAATTTCTCATTGAAATCCACATAATGGCGTTCCAATGGCAACTGATTTGATCGTCTGAAAGGGATGGAATGCTAAGTACACTTACAAAGCCATTGTAAGTGATCAACGGCGTTCCTGCACACCCAATTGGAAGTTTTCTTTTGAAGTACGACTCGAGATCTCCCAGAGTTGACAAGTCACCTGATTTTTCGCACCACTTGATGTACTCCGTGAAAATAGTGTCACAAACCATATCCTATATAGGTCACCGGATTGTTTATAACGCGGAGTCGTAACTCATACATTGCCTCCTCAATATGCTACAAAAAAAACAGCAACAACATATTTCAGAAGTCTGTACCATGTGACCAAATTTACATGGTACCATGTGACCGAATTACATCATACCATGTGATCAGGTGATACGGTACCATGTGACCAAGATACCAGTGACCTTGTTACGTAAGATAACTTAATGTAAACTTACAGTATCTGTGAGCCATACTCCCACTTGTAGAAGATCTTCCCAAAATTTTGACGTACGTATTCCATCCAATTTTGGCTTCCACAATCGTGTCTCTCGTGGCTTCTTCATAAACTCCCATAGAGCGTTGGCGAGTGGACCGGATGCTTCTAGAATTCCAGATTCCTGATCAGACCTCCACTCGGGTGGACACGCTCTAGATTCCATACAAATACCTTTTCTTCACTCGATGAAGGCAGAATTCCTTTCTCAGTTCCGACCGCAACAACGTCATCCTCAGAAGCTTCTTCCTCATCGTCGTCTTCCTCAGCAACATCCTCCTGGGCAGTGTTGCTTCGACCTCTGCCGCTGCCCCTACCTCTGCCTCTGCCTCTGCCTCGGCCTCTGCCTCTACCTCTACCTCTACTCTGCCTCGACCTCCTACAGCCTGGACCGAGTTCTTTTGGCCAGTGGACCAGTTGATATTGGTTCTACATAAGGGCTTCTTTTGGACGGCCCATCAATAAGCTTCCTTTTTGTTCTTTTCAACTGATGTGTATCAGAGGAGTCAACTGCTGGTGGAGGTTGATTGACTTCATGTTCAACAGGGGGGCAGACATATCTGGCTCTTCATTGGATTTAGCAGCTGATTCTTTGTCAGAAGATTCATCGGTTGTCTCATCCTCCTCGGTTCCCTCACCCTCTTCGCCATCGGCGTCATCCTCTTCAGAATCTTCATCGGTTGCCTCACCCTCATCACCATCGGCGTCATTCTCTTCTTCCGTGTTCTCATCGTCACCGCCAGCATCATCGTCACTATAATTTTCTTCAGCATCTTCTTCGGGGACATTTCCTGAACAAAAAACAAGATATACACAGATAAATTAAACCATGTGACCAAGTAAATATGGTCACATGGGACCAAGTAAATATGGTCCCATGTGACGAAATGACAAAGTTTGAATACTTACTTCCTGCTTCTTCGTCCATGGAAGAAAGATCAACCTCTTTAGGCGAAAGCTCTTTCTCCTTGCTCGATGCCTCTTTCTCCTTAGGAAACGGTTCTTTCTCCGTAACCAATGCCTCCTCGGCAGTTGTCTTCTCTTTTTCTGACTCCAATGGAGTCACATCTCTCGGTCTTAACTCAAAAACTCCAACATCTTGATAATAATATTCGTCGGTACCGACAGAACCTATCAAAGGACTTGTCGTAACTCTTTCTTTCGCAACAGGACTTTTTCTGAGGTTCTCTTGCACTGTGGACCTGGGCGTTGCTGTGGACCTGGGCGTGGATATGTCCTTATCTACCGATCTGCCACCGGGTTCTCCTGCACTGTGGGACTTGGGACAAATCC